GTAACTCGAGCAGAGGGTCGATGATTTCTGCGTCAATATATATAGGTGGAGGCTTAACTGCTTTTTTTTCTTCTACTGCTTTTCCTGTAGTGTTTTGTGTTACTGTTGATTCGTCGAGTATATCATAAGAGTTGCTTATGGGAATGTTATGGAGCCATTTTGCAGGTAATGGTGTGGAGAAGTTGTTATTGTTGTATTTTTGCTCACTTATTTTGCGTTTTCTTGAGTTTTGTAGCTTGGTTGATTTTGCTGGTAACCAGTTTTGAGAATCTTCCGAATCAGTATTCATTTCGCTTTCCATTCGCGAGTTTCTATCATTTTTTTTGATTATTCTCCTTTCAGTACGACCAAGGTTAGCTGTTTGTTTCTTTTCTGTTGACTGTTGGCCTATTTCGGTATTTTGAATGATGAAACTATTTCCGTTGTTAACGATTTTCAGAGGTTTGATGTTATTTCTTTCCATGTTAACTAGCTTTTTGCCATAGGCTTGTCCACGCGGTTACCCGCGTGGGTGTAATGTTACCTCGCTTGTACACTGGTTACTCACCCTTGTAACTGCGATGTCGACTAAAGTACTTTATAACGTATCTCAACTTACTWATTATTTAAATACTTATGTTCTCGGGAGCGATTAGATAAACACGTCCGTATTTACTAACGATTGAACGAAGAATGTTGCTRTGCAGAGTATAGCATTTAGTCGTTTTAAAAACAACGACATTTTTGTGTAATATACACTAACAAAATAATCGTTGTTCTTCGCAATTAGGCAATATAATAAATAACCCATGAGGGCAAGATTCTTTTCTTCTTTTGCATAATTATTCCACATTACTGTCTCTTAAGTACTCTTCGTCCAAGTCGAGCGAGGAGAAAATATAGAATTTTTCGTGTGATTCATAGTGCTTTCTGCTATATTTATCGAGTATTTTAGTAACTTTAAAATACTGTAACAAAGACATTGACAAATCTGTCTTCGTTCTCTGTAAATCAAATATACTATCGAGTTGGCCTATAGTTAAAGCTTCTTTAAATAATTTGTCAAAGATTTCGGCTTTGCCTAAGGCAATATCTTGTCGAACATGATCGTTGCTCCATATTTACGCTATTTAGGGACAAACATTTCGTTACCTTGTATTGAAATATTAGAAATAATGATTAATTATCTTGCTCCTTGTTTGATCATCCATTCGATCAGTACTATTCCAAAGATATTAAAACCGTCGATAACGAGGAAGCATTTATCGCTATGAAAGAAAAGATAAGAAAAGAAGTTAGAGAATTTTTTTCCTTCTTGCAAGTTGACTAAAACCTGTAAAAAAATACATTCGTATTAAAATTGTGAAAAAATCGAGCATATTATATCATACACTTTACATATATTGAATTACTTTTCCGTAATGTTCAAAAGCTTCAATTTTTTTTTTTGTTGCTCCCTGAATCATGATTCTTCGTGATAAAATTTGTTTGACTTTCTAAGCCTGTAGAGCTTTTCTCATCAATTCCGCTGATTCTCTCTTTTTTCTCTGTGGTTACTTAATAAAATCTTGTAAAAAGTAGCTATATACATTTATGAACCGTATAAAATTATATAGTTGTAATGGATTATAATAAGGCCCTTTACAATCGTAAATCATTACCAAATGTTTCAAATTTTTAACAATGTCAAAACAGTTTTCCATATCGTCTAAGATAGAATAATTTGAAACTACAAAATCAAAATCCTTGTCTTTCGTAATATTCATAATATTAATTCTATAATCTTCAACTTTCATGATATTAGACTGTGGTAAGCGTGGTCGCATCGACTCGATCACCCGTTTTACTGCATCTGTTTTGTAAGTAGTGTAAACATMAAAATTATAAGATATGGATAAAYTAATGAGAGCCTGTCCTACGTCACTARCACCATAATGTATTAWTATAGTTTTATTTCGTTTAAATCTCTAAGTATCTGAATGCACAAAATGCAAAAAGCTGCCAAATAGGCTTGGGGAATTGCTGAAGCATCTTCGAAGTTCCAACTGTCTAGAATAATCCAAGTAAAATCTGGATCGTCTAAGAATTCATTACTTATAGTGAAACTATCAACTAGTCCCATTACTCTACGACATTTTTTATTTATTCCTTAATATTCTGTAATAGATATCTAAGATTCCAGGCTGACATCATTTTTTAACCAATATTCGTATACACCTAAGTCAAATGCAGAACATTTAACCCTAACAATCCTATCATTATTTTTTTTAATCAATGGTAATTTTTCTATCCATACTGAAGATCCTGATTTATTAATTTTTGCTTGCCAACGCATTGAAGAAGCAGACTTTACTCCCAATGACATCTATCTGTATGTGCCCCATACTCCGTTTGGCGCTAATACATTTTCACGAAGATTAAGTCTTATTTGTGATTCGTAGAATTCATTTTGAAGAGATAATTTCGGTGCCTTATCATCTTAGCGATAAAAATTTAAAGTTTTTTATTTCTCTTTTCTCCTTTTATATCTCGAAGTATCTCAAATATATCATTATCGGTAATAGTGTTAGCCACAAATATAACATTATCATATTTTGCGTCTTGTCAGCAGATTTTTAACTGATTTAAACTGTTTTTGTTGCTATTAACGACAACAGTTTTTCTTAAATTTCTTCCTTTATTTGAAAAAAGAGCTGTACAACAAAGATCAATTTTTATTTTCAGTACAATGTTTAATCCCACACTCGTCAATGCAGAAATCGCATTATCTTCCTCTTTTGTTTCATTGATTGTAAATAAAAATGATTTTGTACCGAGAGTACTAATAAGTTTTCTTACATCGATATAATGCGCGTTATTTATAATCGTCAAGAAATAGTTCTCATTAATAATCTGATAAAGCAATTCTCTAGCAATTAATTTTAAATTGAAGTTTATCATCGTCCTTTTTATAGCATTCTCGAAAAAATCCAAATTATTCTTATTTTTCTTTTTTGACTTATTCGTGTACAATATCTTTTTTTTACTGCTAGGGCTAATATTTTTTAAAATTAATCCTATTACTGCGTTTAATACGTCGTCGATATCCATCCTTTTTTTATTAATATTCTGGATAAATCGAAGTTCCTCCRTGACAATTTTTAAGTTCCTGTTTTTAAATATTATTTCTTTAAATTGGATTCCACTCATTGTATATCCGGGACAAGCAATTACGTTTGCCCGCTTTTCAAACTTTATTGGGAAGGCTACGAAAAAATATAAATATAAATTATATAGTCTGTTAAACTATGATACATTCTGTTATTTTTTGTCAAAGCATTTTTGATTTACGAGCATATTAGGTGTAAAAACATTTTTAATGTCGTTCGAATAAAAATATAAGTATTGTCTGCTCGCATACTTGTCGTTTTTGATTTAACTAATTGTCTATTGTAGTATTTCCTGATTGTAAATGTTAGTATTTAAACGTTTAAAAGTGGCTGCTGATTATTGTTGTTAAGGAATCAGCAATGAATAATATATTATCAAAGCATGATTTAATAAATAATATTTGTTTTAAATTTTTACTCTTTGATTATAAATAAAGAGAATTGAAATTTATTTATTTTTAGATAAAAAATGCTTTTAAAATTCTACAAATTTATTTAAATTTTTATTTTTGTTGTAAAAAGATTTTGAAGAGTTGGAAAACATTTGGTCTTTATTGTATTTTAATAACCACGAGTAAGTTAATATTAAGTTTCAAATGCTTACCACTGTTTTCTTTTATTTTTTCTGTTAATTGTCCCATGTCGATGACGAGTTTTTGTATCCTACTCGGTACAAACATATTTTTATTCCTACAGCTTATAATATGTACTTCATCTAATCCTTCTAGTAATAACTCCCAGTCTCTGCTTCATTTAAGCGTTTCATTGGAATACGATGTAAAGAGTCCGCTAATAATAAAGTAAGATTCTTCATACTGGTAACCAAGTAAAAGTAGATTAGAGTAAATATTTGTTTCGTCTAAAATTTCCGTTTGTTCTTTTAGGAAAATGATTTCTGGTATATCTTCCATCTCTGTTTCTGCTAAGCGAATAGTTCCAAAAGCTACCATGATTTCATCTTTGGTTTTTACTTCAAATTTTCCTGAACCTGAAAATTTACATTATTTCACGATATTTTTTAAAAATACTATATTTACAGAGAGAGAGGATTGCTATTTATACCTTTAAATATATCATAATAATTAAATGAATTTTTCCGCTTCTAGGTACTTCGAGTAATTTATTGAGAATAAAAATATTTTCTCTCGAGTATAAAAGAATTATAAGTTTTATTCGGTATTAAATTCAAGTAAATATTCACAACCAACTTTAAATAGACAGCTGAAGAAATGATAACATTGCCGTTAAATTTACAATTTCGTAAAAACTTGTTTTTATCTGATTTCAAATCTACCAATTCTTCAGTTTGTTCAGTTTCCCGCAATTTACCAACTTTCACGTGACTGTCAAACATATATAATAATAGTTTATACCATCTATTTAAGAAAAATGTATTTTGTACTTACCAAAAAAACTGTGTTCCCATTGAACAACAGAAGAAATGGATGCGGATTCTCTAGAAACAGGATAAGGAATTCTCTGATAGAGTTATCCTAGCGTAATGGGAAATCCAAGATTATAAGGCTTTTCTAATGTGGATAAAAAAAAAGGGCATTGTACTTATGGCTTCGTTTTGTTAATGATATATTAATGCAACTACTGTCCAATGATTTTTTTAGAATCGCTTAATAAATTAACAGTATTTGGTTATTTAATTTAAAAAAATTTTATTAAAATTTATTTTTTAACAAATAACCCGGTAAAAGTCCATAGGGTGAAATTTCAATCGTTATAGCGTTTTTTGGTAACATTGTTAATACTTCTTCGAATAAGGCAGGAGAAACGAGAATATTCGTATGATATTCTGGTGAGGAAAACTGAGCTTTTATTGTACGCTATACATTATTCGAAATAGATGTGCATATCCAACGACTATTTTGGTTGAGGGATGACTTTTTTAAGGTATTCTAACAACTTTGGACCAGCTGGAGAAATGTATCGACTATGAAAAGCAATATTACTAGTCGGCACGGTTTCAGCAAATATTCCTTTACTCTAAAGAAAAAATAATTATAGTTTAAAAATTTTAATATTCTTAATGTCTATCAGAAAATCTCCTAAGCATTACCTGTAATTCTTTTACAAAAGCTTTTATGGACTCGGTCGGTCCACTTATCGTAGAACAGTTGGGTACATTATGACATGCAACATCAATGTCTTCAGAACAGAAATTTCGCAACAGATTATAACCAAGACCAACTGCGGCCATCGTTCCGTGTATCAAATAACTTTCTACTGAAGCCAACAACGAGAAAGAGCGCTTAAAATCACTTCCTCAGCAGTAAGGCAACCATCTGCGTAAGAACAACCCAGCTCACAAACAGAATGCTCGATCATGTAATTCGGTTTAAAGCCAACAGCGTATAGGGTATCCACCAGACCGATCTATGTAACACAATTATTTGAAATTATTCATTTAAAATAAAGAAAAAATAAACACTGCTTAATAGGAAATATCAGACATATTATTACTTGTATTGCTGCTATTTCCAGAAAGCAGTTTATAATATTATCGTCTATTGTTGGATTTTTATCGCATATAATATGCACAATGTCGTAACTTCGAGATCTTAAAACTACATCACACTTTTTTATTGCTTCGGCAAAGATTGGTATTTTCATTAGCGATTAACCTAGAAGAGAATCTTACATTTATTATATATGATGTAAAATTGTTTTATTTATTTAAATATAAAACTAGTAGTACCCATTCCAGTCTTCTAAGACTTTTCCTTATCATTGAAAAAAAAATATAAGAAAAATGGCACTTTTGTTTTTACATGCAAGAGCTGCAATTAATTATACCTGGTACACTTAGATTTTACCTAGATTATACAGTTGGTGAGGTGTTTGGGGAAGTAAGCTTAAGATTCCCCCAGTAACAATTGCGTAATCGCAATCTCCAGCTTTTAAAGCTTCGTACGCTTTTTGAATAGCTAATGAACTTGATATGCTGGCTGAATCGATAGTGTAGCCTGGACCAGTTAAACCCATAAAAAACGAGATACGGTTTGATAGCAAACCACGGCAAAATCCCAATAGACTATATTCATCATGCTATAATAAAAATAAAAATAATTGCACTTAGAATGATTTTACCTTTAAATAGAATCCATTTGATCATTCTATTAACTTACTTGATGTTCGAAAATTGCGCCCCTCAGACTAGATAGCAGCACCTCTTGGCTAGCATGATTAATGCGCCGTCTGTTATCGCTGAGAAGAAGACATATCGATTGTTCTTATTGATCAAGGGATCACGCCACTTGACGTGTCAATAGGTCATTGGTCCCCTGTGTCGTCATCCTCTGCGTGTTACCTTCCTATTGATTGTTTGTCATCTCTTCCTAGCGTGGAACTCGCTAATTGGTGTATTGTCTTTTCTCCACTTCTGCTCTGCTCCTCTAATCAAACCGAAAAGTGGCGTGGTCCGACACAATCTTTTACGAAGTTAAACAGTGCGGACGTATATTTAACAATCTCTGAAATTTGTGAATTCATCTCATAGTCTTCATCTCGCTTTAATTCTTATCTCTCACCGTTCCATCTCATCTCTCACCTCGCTTTTCCTCATCTAGACAATCTCTTTATACTCTCTCTCATTAACGACTTCTCAGGTAATCTCACAACCTTTATCTCTAATTTGAACCTCTCTTTATTCGTTCTGACCTCTCATTTTTGTTGTACTCTTCGTTTCATCAATTCTTTCATTTCTCATTATTACATTTTCCTTCCTTTTTTTTTTTCTAACGGCTTCTCGTGCTACGTACTTCCGGTACACGTKGCGTGATATCCGGTACACGTGGCGTAGCTTATCTATTACTGCTTGTAAAAATCTATTATACTTTCGCTATCTCTATTTTTCTGCACATAATATCTATTAAATCTTGTTACACATAAATTCTACCAGTAAATTCCTCATTTATACAGTCCACTAGCCTATTTCGCCTATCTCCTTGTCTTCTCTTAGAGCATCTCATTCAAATCTACTAATCTTTCTATTCTCGAACACTTGAGTTTTATCGTTCAGAACACTACTATCTAACTCATTTAAACATATTACCCCGTAAACATTTGTTTTCTTGCTCGGTAACTCTACAGGATTTATTCCGGCATCAATAATGGCTTGAAACGTAACTTCCAATGCCATTCTTTTTTGCAGCGTTAGATAGTTTGCCTGAATTGCATTAGTTTCAAAAAAAAAGTTATCGAAACAGCAATGGAACAGTCGTATTTTAAGGAAAACCGCTACGATGCGACCATGCAGGCATATCTAGGCGGAGTAACGCTGTTAAACTTGCGGATAGAAGAACTCTCCCAGCAAGCACCGCCTGTCACATCTCAAAGAGCATCTCGTTTCAGGACAGTACTTCCCAATATCTCATTACCGAAGTTTTCCGGTGCCTTCTCAGAGTGGAGACCCTTTGAGGAACTATTTTCCTCAATGATAAAAGACAACTCAGACCTCTCACAAGTGGAGAAGTTACACTATCTCAGAACCAGCCTGGAGGGAGAAGCGGCTAAAGTCATCTCAGATCTGAAATTATCCGCTGATTCTTTTACGATAGCATGAAATAGATTGTCAGACAGATTCGACAACAAACGCCTATTAATCCTGGCTCATCTCGATAGGCTGATGGCCCTTCCTCGCAACAAGGAAAGGTCATCTGGATCCCTCAACAAATTAATCAATATAGTAACGTCATCTCTCAGTGCTCTAGAGTCATTAGGATGCCCGACCAACCAATGGGATCACATCCTCGTTCATCAGGTGGGNAAAAAAAAAAAAAAAAAAAAAAAAAAAAAATTTATAATCATCAAGAAATAGTTCTCATTAATAATCTGATAAAGCAATTCTCTAGCAATTAATTTAAAATTGAAGTTTATCATCGTCCTTTTTATAGCATTCTCGAAAAAATCAAAATTATTCTCATTTTTCTTTTTTGACTCATTCGTGTACAATATTTTTTTTTTACTGCTAGGGCTAATATTTTTTAAAATTAATCCTATTACTGCGTTTAATACGTCGTCGATATCCATCCTTTTTTTATTAATATTCTGGATAAATCGAAGTTCCTCCRTGACAATTTTTAAGTTCCTGTTTTTAAATATTATTTCTTTAAATTGGATTCCACTCATTGTATATCCGGGACAAGCAATTACGTTTGCCCGCTTTTCAAACTTTATTGGGAAGGCTACGAAAAAATATTAATATAAATTATATAGTCTGTTAAACTATGATACATTCCGTTATTTTTTGTCAAAGCATTTTTGATTTACGAGCATATTAGGTATAAAAACTATTTTAATGTCGTTCGAATAAAAATATAAGTATTTTCTGCTCGCATACTTGTCGTTTTTGATTTAACTAATTGACTATTGTAGTATTTCCTGATTGTAAATGTTAGTACTTAAACGTTAAAAAGTGGCTGCCGATTATTATTGTTAAGGAATCAGCAATGAATAATGTATTATTAAAGCATGATTTAATAAATAATATTTGTTTTAAATTTTTACTCTTTGATTATAAATATAGAGAATTAAAATTTATTTATTTTTAGATAAAAAATGCTTTTAAAATTCTACAAATTTATTTAAATTTTTATTTTTGTTGTAAAGAGATTTTGAAGAGTTGGAAAACATTTGGTCTTTATTGTATTTTAATAACCACGAGTAAGTTAATATTAAGTTTCAAATGCTTACCACTGTTTTCTTTTATTTTTTCTGTTAATTGTTCCATGTCGATGACGAGTTTTTGTATCCTACTCGGTACAAACATATTTTTATTCCTACTGCTGATTATATGGACTTAAACTAATCCTTCTAGTAATAACTCCCAGTCTCTGTTCCATTTTAGCGTTCCATTAGAACACGATGTAGAGAGTCCGCTAATAATGTTGTAAGATTCTTCATACTAGCAACCATGTCAAAGTAGATTAGAGTAAATATTTGTTACGTCTAAAATTTATGTTTCTTTTTTTAGTAAAATGATTTATAGTGTATCTTTCTTCTCTGTTTTCGCTAAGCGAATGGTTCCAGAAGTAATCATAATTTCATCTTTGGTTTTTTCTTTAAATTTCCTGAACCTGAAAATGTACATTTTTTCACGATATATATTTAAAATATTATATTTATAGAGAGAGAGGATTGCTATTTATACCTTTAAATATTATAATAATTAGATGAATTTTACCGTTTCTAGGTACTTTTAGTAATTTATTTTGAATAATAATATTCTCAGGTATAAAAGAATTATCAGTTATATTCGGTATAAAATTCGAGTAAATATTCAAAACCAACTTTAAAAAGACAGCTGAATAAATGATAACATTGCTGTTAAATTTAAAATTTCGTAAAAGCATGTTTTTATCTGATTTCAAATATAATAGTTCTTCAATTTGTTTAGATTCTCGAAATTTACCGCTTTTTACATGCCTGTCAAACATATATAATAATATACTAAATATAACATCTATTTAAGAAAAGTCTATTTTGTACTTAGCAATCAGAACTGTGATCCCATCGAACAAGAGAAGAAATTGATGCGGTTTCTCTAGAAACAGGATAAGGAACTCTCTGATGGAGCTTTCCTGGCTTAATTTTAAATCCAAGTTTATCAGGCTTTTTTAATGTTGAAAAAAAAGCTGCATTGTCCTTATGGCCTCGATTTGTTAATGATAAATTAATGCAACTACTGTCCAATGATTTTTTCAGAATTGCCTAATAAATTAAAAGTATTGGTAAATGTATTTATTTTAAAAAAATGTTATTAAAATATATTTTCTTATAGATGTTCTTGTAGAAGTCAATAGGGGAAATTTTCAATCGTTATAGCGTCTTTTGGTAACATTGTTAATACTTCTTTGAATAAGACAGAAGAAAAGAGATTATCCGTATGATATTTCGGTGAAGAGAGTTGACCTTTCATTAAATGCCACTCGTTTTTCGGAACAGACGTGAATATCCAACGTTTACTGCGATATTTTGGTTGTGGGATGACTTTTTTAAGGAATTTTAACAACTTTGGACAAGCTGGAGAAATGTACCGACTACAAAAAGTAATATTACTAGTCAGCACTGTTTTAGCTAATATTCCTTTACTCTTTGGAAAAAAAAATTATAGTTTTAAAATTTTATTATTTTAAATGTCTTTAAGAAAATCTTCCATGCACTACCTGTAATTCTTTTAAAAAAACTTTTATGGACTCGGTAGGTCCATTAATGGTAGAACTGTCGGGTCCATTATGAAAAGCAACAATAATGTCTTCAGGACAGAAATTTCGCCACAGCTTGTAACCCAGACCTACTGTGGCCATCGTTCCGTGTATCAAATCACTGTAATGAAGCCAAACTACGAGAAAGGACGCCTAAAATCATTTCCTCAGCAGTAAAGCAACTATCTGCGTAAGAAAAACCCAGCTCACCAACGGAATACCGGATCATGTAATTCGGTTTAACGCCAGCAGCTTATAAAGCATCCACCATTTAAAAAAAAGAAAAAATAAACCCTGCGGAAGACGAAACACTAGATATATTATTACTTGCATTTCTGCTATTCCCAGAAAGCAGTTTATAATATTATCGTAAATTGTTTGATTTTGATCGCATATAATATGCACAATATCGTAATCTCGAGGTCTTAAAACTACATCACATTTTTTTATTGCTTCAGCAAAGATTTGTATTTTTAATAGCGATTCACCTAGAAGAGAATTTTACATTTATTATATAAGATGTAAAATTGTTTTATTTACTTAAATATAGAATCAGTAGTACTTATTCCAGTCTATTGTGATCCCATCCCCAAAAAATCGAACCAGATCTTTCCAGATTTTGCTCAGAAATTAGCTTGAAAAATCTCTAGCAAATGCTCTGAATTAGCTGCTTCAGAATCTTGAATTACTGCATACCCAGAATACGGAGAACAAGAAAATGGTTTCTTAGTAATATCAGTAACTAATTAAGCCAGTTCATCATTTCCTCTGCTCGATTTTAACTAAATGCAAAAAAAAAATAATTCACGATCATTTTGCCTATTCAGTTTATTCGTAATATAAATATCATACAATATTAAAGATCGACGATATCATTTCCTGAGTTCGAAAAGAAGCTAAAAAAAGTCGCGGCATATTATATAGGAAAAGTTTTCTCTTTTGCTTCTCCTTTAAATGACGTTTTAGGATAATGTCAGAGAAGGAACTGTTTAAAGCAGTAGTGTTAACAGCAGCGCAATAATTCGTCAAAGGTGTTGGTTCTGTAATTACTTTTACGCGTCCATCGTGAAGACATTGCGCCTCCTTCGGAGGCTCAGAATAATAAAGATTCAGAGGTATAACCCTGGTCTTCATAGCAATTTGTTCCTAAATATAAAAAATATAAACATGTAGAATATTAAACAAAATTAGTGTTTTTTTATATTTAATTTTGTCTTTTCAGAAAATTTACCTTGATTATCGAATTTATTGCATTGTTATGATATGCGTGGCCAATGTTTGACCTAACAGATCTTATTAAAAGAGGATTAAAAAGACTTTGATCTTGTCTGTAAACAAGATCTACTGCTTTAAATTCTAGAGAATCCATTGATTTGATTGCTGTACCATCGGCCTCGATGTAAGTTATGTCGCTTGATTTTAAACCGCAGTGTTGTAACGTCTGTTTCATTATTTAAGCCTGAGATTCAGCTGTGGGAAAAACACAAGTGTTTCTTGGAATTGCTTCAGTGTACTTAACACAAAGATTGACGACCTTAGCATAAACTTGTTTTGCATTTTCGGCTCTTTGAAGGAAAATTGCTCCTATCGAGTCGCTTCTCAAGAATCCTGGAGCTTTCTTATCAAAAGATCTATTTACCCAGTCTGTAAACAACAAACCTAAATAATAGAATGCATAGAAAAACAAATTATTTATAAATTAAAGACAAAAAAATTCAACTTGCTTTTCTAAGACTTTTCATTATCATTAAAAGAAAAAATATAAGAAAAATAGCACTATATTTTTTACATGCATGAGCTGCAATTAATTATACCTAGTAAACTTTGATATTACCTAGATCATACAGTTAGTAAGATGTTTGGCGAAGTAAGCATATTATTCACCCACTAACAATCACGTAATCGCA